CCCAGGTCGCTATGACGTCATCACAGAACCATGAAACGAACTTCGCACTATGTACTCTAAATGGCGCCACGAACGTGACCCAGGTCGCTATGACGTCATCACAGAACCTGCACCCTGAATCAAACTTTGCACTATGTACTCTAAATGACTCCACGGACGTGACCCAGGTCGCTATGACGTCATCACAGAACCCGAATCCTGAATCAAACTTTGCACTATGTACTCTAAATGACTCCACGGACGTGACCCAGGTCGCTATGACGTCATCACAGAACCCGGAACGACTCAAAACTCCCGCTATGACGTCATGACGTTTGACAGATGACGTTTGACAGGTGACGTTTGACAGATGACGTTTGACAGGTGACGGTTGACATGATGGCGGGAAAACATTTCCCCCCCACCCCTTTTTCTGGTACCCATATTAAAATCCGGGGGCCCCTTTTTGGGGGGCGGAGCTCTGTGGACCCCTTTTTGGGGGTGCAGCCCTGCGGGCCCCCTTTTGGGGGGCGGAGCCCTGCGGGAGCAGGTCCCATGGCGCCATCTGTCGACAAGATGGGACCATGGCGGCGCATCCACCTTCGTGTCAACGACGGCGCATCCACCACGTGTCAAGAATGAAAGATTGAGGTTATGGTCGGATTTTTATGCTTGAATCCCTGTTGCTGTACTACTCGCCGCTATAAATTCACAATAGACCTATCTCGCATGATTAGAAAAAGAGAGCTTAATTGTAATAAATACAAGTTAGAAAGCAATAAAAGATGACATGCGCGCGTAACTCGTTGGCTGCAGTGTAGCCAGATTGTATTTTTGCAGAACAAATGTAGACAATACAAATCGAACATTATAACATTAAAGAAGTGATATAGTGTCAAGTGTTTTACAACGCCTTAAATCAGACAAACGAAGTGAGTTCAAGTAATATGTAAAGTATTAGTTTGCTCTTTGTCAAATTACACGTTACAAAGAAAGAAGGAACGATTCATTCTGAACTGGCCTCTGAATAAGAATATGACGCAAGCCTGTCACAAACTTGCTTTTCATTGGACGCTCACCTGCAGCCTACAAGCGACGCGCGCAGTCCAGGTAATAGGAGATCGGTCTATTGTAGGTACATTAAAATTTTCAGTGATATTTCTTCTAGAATATTCTGGCAATTTATAATCATATAGACCTCAGATTCTGTTCAACAAGTTGAACAAATGTGATGTTATTCGCTTCTTCACTCATTTTGGCAATTCAAAAATCAAATGTAAAAACATTGTAATCGCGTCGTGGTTCCTAAAAGACTAGCATGTTAAGTCGCGCGAGACCAGTAATTTATAGGTAGCGTAGCGATCGCCATATTTTTTGTGGGGGCGCTTCCATTTAAAATAACGTACCGCGACCTCTAAGCGACGTCAAGTCGCGGTTTCGGTCGCGTAGTGCTGTTGTACGAGCGGCCTTAGTGAAAGAGAAAGACAAATATATATTTATGAAGCTCCAATTGTAGCTTTTTTGCCGTGGCGCTATCTACTTGAAATTGCTTCAATTGTAACTGTCAAATTTTCACCTTCAAAATTCGCTTCAAGATTATCTCAAAAAATCGGCAATAATTTTCAAAATCCTTTGATATAACCATTATTTGATAGATTATCTACAATTCGCTTTTTTTAGTTTTTCGTGGTTATCAATAAAATATGCTTTTCACGGATCCGAGCTTGATAAACATATGCAACCACCAATGCATTTTGTGTTGTGGTGGTTGCGAACATGATTTTTGGATTTAAAAAATAGGCAGAATATCGGCAACATGTGTATGACCGACCAAATGTTAATTTTTCAATATTCGCCTTACTCAATCGTTTGGTGGTCGTTTGGTGGTCTTTGGTATCCCACTTTTAGTATTTGGTGGTAATTACTTAGGCAGTAATTAACAATTCAAAATTTCATATGACGTTGGCCGACATAACCTGATTCTAATTTATTTTTTGGCCCATTTATAGTCAAATCGAACGGAAATCGTTTGGTGGTCACGAATTTACCGAATTTAACGTTTGGTAGTCAATAATACCGGAGATATTAATCAATTAAGATTGTTTTCTGATATATTCTAATTATTCGTCGCGCATGCGCATATATTATCTGTTTTTCATTGAGCCGCCTCGATCGCGGCGTTGCCGTTGCGATCCGGAACTGGCGGTGGGCCGGTGGCGTGTCAACTCGCGAGTCGCGAGTCGCGGACTCTGCTTGTACTGGATACTAGATTACTGGATTGTCGTTGTCGTGGTCAGTGGTCGCCACAATAGCAAAAATGAAATTAACTGGAGGCGACTCAATGAAAAACAGATAATATATGCGCATGCGCGACGATTAATTAAAATATATCAAAAAACAATCTTAATTGATTAATTACTCCGGTATTATTGACTAACAAACGCTAAATTCGGTAAATTCGTGACCACCAAACGATTTCCGTTCGATTTGACTATAAATGGGCCAAAAAATAAATTAGAATCAGGTTATGTCGGCCAACGTCATATGAAATTTTTAATTGTTAATTACTGCCTAAGTAATTACCACCAAATATTAAAAGTGGGATACCAAAGACCACCAAACGATCACCAAACGATTGAGTATGGCGAATATTGAAAAATTAACATTTGGTCGGCCAAATACATGTTGCCCAGAATATCGAAAAACTAAAAAAAAGCGAATTGTAGATAATCGATAATAGTTATTTATGATATGAGTGTTAAAAGTACATTTTTAAGGCACGCATGTGAAAGTTTGCAGAATGAGCGAAGCGAATTCTGCAATTCACATAAGTGCCTGAAAAATACTTTTAACACAAATATCATACAATATTTTTTTCTACAAACGGCAATAAAAAGCAATAACCAGTAACAAGTTAGATTTTTGAATGAATAATAAATTGGACATCTTTCCTACATAAAATTATTAAATTTGACATTTGTCAAAAAATCCAAACATCCAGCACCTTGTTTTACCAGGTAATGAAATGTCTTGTCAGTTTCTTGAAAGTCTGTCGTGGTCAGTAATGCTCATACCTTTTTGCTTAAAATGCAACAAAATTCAGAAGAAAAAGAGGGGTGCATCGATCCCTTGAAAAATATAGATGAGGCGGCCAATCGGGCGACCTCAGTTGTTCAAATTTCACCATTAATATCAATGTAAATAACTAAAAATACAAACTTTTTTTGATATTCGCTCTCAAAATTTGATGTTTCATTTTTAACACTAGTGCTATAAAGACTTTATGGCACTAGTGCGATAAAGTAACATTTTTAATGCTACGGGGCGGTGTTAAAAATTGCATTTTTAACACGTTTGTAGAAAAAAGAATGTTTATGCTAAATTTGAGCCAATTCTGATGTGCCGTTTTTTTGGTGATGGGTAACTTGACGACCCGGATGCCTTATGGAGATTTGCATTATGTTTAGGGATACAGATGACGTCATCATAAAAGTTAGAAAAATAAAAGCAGATAACAAAAGACACAAGTCTAAAAACAAACAAAAAAACTAAAAAAAAAAACCGCTGAGAAAAGGGTAGAAAACTCCGTCATCAACGCAAACTTCAACGCTTTATGTTTATTTTGCTCGGATTTGATCCTCATGTGACCAAAAATCCGTCTGCCCCGCGAGTCAGAATATTGAACGCAGTTCAATGCTCACAAGAGTTTTTTTCACGTGGCTCTAGCTTAACCTCAATCTAACCGGATTCCAAAACGGTTAGTAGTGGTATGTCAAGTCAAGGGATGAAAACTAACGGTTAGAAAATTGTTATTTTAAATTAGAAAATCCAATGACAATATTTATAATAGGTCGATGCCTCTAGTAACTGCACCAAAATTTCACGTGTACCTACCTATCGTGAAAAAAAAATCCTTATTATGCATTTTAACTTCAATTGCTTCCATGTTGGTCATCTGATTTTAGAAACTTTAAAATTAACAGAACGCACAATTTTTTATTTAAGTTTACAGCTGCACAATTTTCCCGCTTCTCCGTTGTTCACAAATTTTCTATTTTTTTTTCTTCTAATCGTTGAACGTAACCATATCGCCAAGCTGGTTAGAGAAATGACATACTGTTTCCTAACCCGGTTACAAAGTGACGTCAACGATACAACTCGAATTTGAGCGATATGTGATATGTTGCGGTTTGTTGGACCGGTGCCACGTGGAAAGGGCTAGGATGATACACATTCTAAAGCCTAGTACTCATAACTGCGAAATTCGCACTTTTTTGACATTGCGTCGACAATTTGACGTTTCATGCGTAAATCAAACCTCAAATTGTCGAAGCAATGTCAAAAAAGTGCGAATTTCGCAGCTATGAGTACCTACTAGGCTTTAGGATTGCTTATCGGCCTCGTTTTTGGTAATCGCGGCTACAGTAACTCTATTACCACAGTGGCGACAATTGCAGTCTTCTTTTTGACTGGTTCTTTGAAATCCCATATATTCATATGGAAAACGCCGCCATTTTGTGCCCAACCTCTTGCTACTCATAAATATGAATATACCTATAGGATTTAATAAATGGACATTGGACATCCATCATAAAAAAAATTTGAAACAACGTATCTGATGACGATAATAAACATCAAATACGTTGTTTTGAATTTTTATGATGGATGTCATTTAAATCCTATATATTCATATTTGAAAGTAGCAAGAGGTAGGGCACAAAATGGCGGCGGGACCCCTATTATCGCCACTGCATGTAAAGGTTTATTTAGTCGCTGTGCTGTAATCGCGGCCATCCGCCATATTGGTGTATCACCATTGGCGACTTCACTCGACTTCACTAGCTCAGTCGTCAGCTGTCTGCGCCAGCGGTCCAAGTTCAGATTTAAATTTATGATGGAAAATATCATATAATTTTGGCGTGGTGGGGGGCTTCAGATTGGTTCTACACAGTCTATATGAGGATAGGCTATCTTGTAGTAGTAGTGTGTATTATCCTTGCAATGTCCGGCCCATCTACTGACAAATGTCATATTCTTATCCGATGTCAGAGTCAGTTGTCATTGCGTTGCGATTGTGATTTAGGTTATTGGTGGTCAACTTTTGGTTCTGTGCTGTGATTTCGTCCTTTCTACTCTGTTTTGGTTGGGGAAAACGTAAGTCTACCTACATAATAATAATATTTATCATTTTTCTTCATTTAGTAATTAATTGTTATTATTATTTGAATAAGAAATGCGTGTTAAAATGTTCATTCAATAGCGACAATAACTAGTAATTGGAAATTAAAAGTTGCTTTCTGCTTCATGATAGGTTGTTCTTGCTTCTGACCTACCTAATCAACAAAAAATACCTCAAGGAAATTATTGTTCTTTGGAACCAAGTAAAAGTTATATAGTAAAGTCCGTGGACCGTGGCATGGTTCTTGAGCTACGACGACTGAAGGGACAGAGGGGAATATTCGCTAATCGCTATTGCGGCTTTGTCATTTCAATAAGAATAATAATACCTAATACATAAAAATTGCAATATTATCTCTATCTCCTTCGTCCTTCGTCTCTGAAATAATACATAATCGCCCCTGTAGAGCAAGAAAGGGGCCAGATGCCAAATATAAGATTGTTGAGAAAACCAAGAATAAAGCTGCAATTTTGAAAATTATTATCCATTTCATTTGCAATTACTTTTTCTGTCTACAGGAACAGGACAGGAGTTTATGTAAGTGCCGCTTGCCACCTTTTTACGCAACGTGAGTTGGGTTATGAAGATGTAAGATGTTATGGTGTTCATCTCAAAAATGATTCAACTGCCACTTGGCCGCTTGGCCCCTTTTTGCTACGGAAGCCCGGTCGTGCAATCTGTGTTCCGAGTTCTTAGTTCATAGTTCTGACGTCACAACTCGGAATTTCTGATTTATTACGTCACAACTCGGAATTTCGGATCTACTAGGTTAGAAGTCCCTTATCGATGTTATCCTTGAGAATTGTTGAATTGTAAATTGTAACCCAAAAATTAGGTGTCCGGTGTCCGGTTCAATTGTTTTTATTTGCATTTGCGATGTGAAATTTAACAAAAAAAAAACTGCATAGCAAAACCTTTAAAACATTCTAGATGAAGCAGATAACCACCATTTTAGGGGCCTGTGTCCTCTGGCGCTCAGATCTTTAAAATAATTGATCCACCAATTTCTACCAAGCCGTCTCATTTCAGACCATCAACATTCAATTCTTTCAATATTATATGCTCTTTGCTCTTGCCTTATTTTATAAAGCTTTTTTGGCGTACAAGTGTATCGGCGTGAAAATATCAAAAATAGGTTTGTGATAGAGCAACCATTGAGAGCAACACACATATTTTCTGTCCATAAATCAGTTTTCACAGATTCACAAAAAAAAAATATATTGAAAGATATAACTACTAGTAGGAGCTAGCAAGGGGTTCCTGGTTCATCCGACTAAAAGCAGGACGCGCACTGAATCGACTCGGACCGGTCGACTCGGCCTAGAGCATTCGGTAGTTTTTGATACTCATGCAATTAAATGAGACTCCGCGCACGGCATCGGACTCGTCGACTCGACGTGGTCGACTCGAGTCTCATTTAATTGCATGAGTATCAAAAAATTACCGAATGCTCTTCGCCGAGTCGCCCGGTCCGAGTCGATTCAGTGCGCGTCCTGCTTAACCCGTTTCAGAGAAAGCTAGAAATTTTTTAAATAATGTTTCATTATTGGTCAATTAGGAAAGTAGATAACGTTCTGGCAGGCATCTCGTGGTTGCGTCATAATCCCCCAAGTGTGACGATAGCAAAGTTGTTATAGGGTCAATCATTTATTACCTGCTTCCACAAGGCTGAATTTTGAGGGAATATTCTTTTATTGATTTAAAAAGTATATTTGAAAAGCCAGCCTATTCTGGCGGTTGCGAGTGTCTGCCACAGATGAGTATATAATAGTCATGATGATGTTCGATGGGAGTGCTAGCAATAAATGAGCATTTCCGAGTTATGACGTAGTAAATCAGAAATTCCTAGTTGTGACGTAGTAAATCAGAAATTCCGAGTTGTGACGTCAGAACTATGAACTTAGAACTTGGAATACAGATTGCACGACCGGGCTTTCGTATTTTGCTCTACAGAGCAGTGTTGCCAATGGGCGGATTTTAATCCGATTTGCGGATATTTTTTGGACGATCGGATTTTTTTCGAATTATGTAATTCAGAGGATTTTTTGCGGATTTTTTTAGATAAAACGAATAAGGGCATGAAATCCCTCCAAAGCACAACAAGCCAACATGGCTGCTATGGCAGTATGTAACAAAAGCGTTTGGTGTTGTTTTGAGGTTATGACAGTGCGTTTTTATTGAAAAACAACTTCCAAAAACGCATTTATTAGGCAACTTTTCGCGAGGATAATCGAGGATAATTTTCCGCGTGTGGCTAAATTCAGCTGGTGTTGGCACCGTGGTGGAATGGTAGAAAAAGCAGTGTTGTTGAATTAAACATGGTTTGACAAGCTGTGGTTTGCCATTGGCATTAGTGAATTTCAATGGTCGCGTCGCAACCAATCACCGCATCCGTGGCGGTGCACCATTTTGGTGAATTTAGCAACACGCGGCTGATTAGCTGAGTTATCTGATGTGTCATACTTCCCTAAAGGCCGAAACCCACTAGCAACACGCCACGCCACCCCACGCCATGTGACACAGGTTCACGTTGGACAGTTTGTGTGCAAATGGACGGATGGCGTGGCGTGCCATGGCGCGGTATCTCGTATGGCAAGTGTGTACGCAGCACATATAAATGAATGGAAGAATATACGCATACATTTTCGTCACATGGCGTGGTGTGGCGAAGCATGACGTGGCGTGTTGCTAGTGAGTTTCGGCCTTAACTCTCTCTCCATCAAATGCCTGCGAGTGACTCTCAGCAGATTATACTGATGACGTCACCCGCAGACCTCGATGGCTTGCGATTCAGGCTATGCTAGTGAGTTCATTTTTTCGTCGATTTTTCCCAGAATTTAATGGTGGGGGAGCTTGGGGATGTTCTCAATTTCACCAATAGATGTTGCACTGTTCGTGCATATAATGGTTTATTGTTCATTCGCTGTTCACCGCTATGCTCTTCTCAATTAATTTTTCGCGAATAATGATGACCTTTTTTCCTTTTTTTTTTTTTCGGTAAAAGCACCTCATAGGAAAATCGGATTTTTTCGGATTTTTTTACAGTTGACAGCGGATTTTTTGGTTATACCGGGTGCCCACGAGATCACTTTCCGGCTGCCATTTTTTTATTTGTCCATTAATATCAACGAAACTTGGTAGGGTTGATATTCTATCCAAACCCCATTTTTATGCATTCATGACAAGTTTTCCTGACTTCCTGTTCCACCAGAAATTACCGGAACTTTTGATTTTTAAATGGCACACCCTGTATATTTTTTGTTTTTCGGATTCTACAGGTCGTTTTACGTCCTAATGCACAATTTTTGAATCGAGTTTTGCCCAAATTTTGTTTTTAAATTAAATTTTAATTTTTTAACTAGAGTGCCATGATCATCCTAAAATGACTCTACATACTTTACTTAAGTTCAGAAAAATACAAACTCAATTTTATCTTTGTAAACTTTTCTGATAGAGGGCCGTAAACTTCATTATTTTGGTATTTTTTCCCTAGCTCAAAAACTAGAATAGAAACATCACTTTCATAACATCACTAAATGCAGTTTTTTAAAGCGAATTCAACGATATAATATACTACATTTTTCTTAATTTTTGTTCAAATATTTCTGTTTTATTATGTAGGTAATTTCTTTTTTCTACTCAAAATTTAATTTTGGAAACGAAATTTGGACAAAACTCAATTTAAAAGTGGTACATTAGGACGTAAAACGATCTGTATAATCCAAAAAACAAAAAATATACAGGGTGTGCCATTTGAAAATCAAAAGTTTCGGTCATTTCCGGTGAAACCGGAAGTCAGGAAAAATTGTCCTAAATGCCTAAAAATGGCGTTTCGTTAAAATATCAAGCCTACCAAGTTTCGTTGATATCGATAAACAAATAAAAAAATGGCAGCCGGAAAGAAATCTCGTGGGCACCCGGTATATCGTTGGCAACACTGCTACAGAGGCGATATGGAGAATAATATTCTTCAGATCCAATAATAGTCCAAGATAGAGATGGCAAATTCTCGAGAATTTATTTTGAGAAAATTTTCTAGCAGAATATTCGGGAACATTGGAGAATTTTGGAGAATTTTGAAGAATATAGCTTCTTAACCTCATTTGGGGCTTTTTGCATTTTTTTTGTATCTAAAATCACAAAATTGACATGAAAATTTTGTTTTCCTTATTTTGTCTGAAATGTTTCCATATCGAACTTCTAGGTTTCATTTTCGAAGGAATTTCCTTAAGGTTTAAAGTCAGGCCCATAGTTCATTACAGCAACGCGAGATGTCAATGCTGTCGCCCCTATAGTGTGCCCTAACTTGACTGTCAAAAAAAAATAGAAATCTTCATTTGGTTAAATTGTGTGATGGAACGTTTTTTCTTTTTTTGGCGGAAATTCGAAGTATTATTCTGTTTTACATAAACAGGGTTGTAGTTTCGACCAACGCAAATAATTTTGAACGTTCATACGTCGGATTTTTTTCTAAACAGTGTAGCTACGGGCGTATTTCCAACCATTTTTGTAGTAGCGAGAAAACTACAAGTTCAAAAAATTTGAAAAAAATATATGTCGCGTAGAATTGCAATAGTAGTTCGTAATAAAAATAATGGGAAACTTCATTTATTCGTTTTGAAATAAATGGTGAAAAACTACTTTTTTTTTAGTTTTTGCGATATAACTCAAAAATGGCGAGTCAAATTTGCTTAAAAAAATATGGATTAAAGTATATCGATAACCATAAAACATATATTTTTTTTGGAATTTTTGAACACAAGGTTCAGAAAATGGGCGTTGACTTTAAACCTTAAAACTAATATTAAGGGCTGGTTTATTCATCTCCTGATAAACTGTTAGGTTTGCAATCTGACGGATAAAAACGCAATCTGTAATCTCATTGGTCCGCCAGTTATCCGCCGACCGATAGAATCTGAGAACAGTAGGTACATTTATCTTGTAGATAGTAACCAGCAAGTTTATCTGAAGATGA